CCTCGGCCACCTCTGTCCTTGTGTCACCCGCAGGGCGGCCGTGGGGGCCCGCGGGGCTCCCGTGCCCGTTCCCTGCCCGTGGCAATTGGGATTTCCCTCTCCTGCCATTAACCCTGCCCGGGGATGCCCACGGCATAAACCCTTTTAGGGTCCTTCCCCTTTGGGTCGGTTTTGCCCCGGGGAATTGCAGGTGTTAATCCCGATCCGGGGGTGCGGCTGGCCTGAGCCCCGTGGCTCTGCCCCAGCCTGTGTTCGGCCCAGGGGACAATTAAAAAGGGGGTTAATTACCTCCCGAGTGACACCCTTGGGTGACGTGTCACAACAGCCTTCCCTGGGAGCCCCGGCCCCGCTCTGGGTGCTGGGGGGGCCCTGCAGCATCCTTCCCTTCTCCTGCAGGTGATGGATTTCCCCCACAGAGCCCAGGTGCCCCAGCTCTGCTGTGTCCCTGTCCCTGTCCCTGTCCTGGCAGTGCCACCGGCTGACCCCGGCAGGGCTCGGGTGGGCACCCCCAGCCTCCCGCCTGCAGGAGCTGCTGGGAGAGCCCCCAGCCCCTCTCAGCTCTGCCTGGGGGCAAAGACCCCGACCCCTGTGACAGCCCCAGCTCCTGGTGGCCACCACCACCCCAGCCAGGCCATCGGGAAACCATCCCCATTTTCTGTGCTTGGAGCCACAACACAGCCAAGGATGCTGCACTCCTGAATGCAGCAAATTCAGCTGAAAACCCACAGAACATTGTCTCTATCTCTGTCCTGGTGCCCATCTCCCCATCCTCATCCCCATCTCCATTCCTATTCCTGTCTGCATCCCTCTCCCCATCCCCACCCTTATCTCCATTCCCATCTTCCATCACTGTCCCCATCCCTGTCCTTGTCCCCATCTCCCATTCCCCTATTCCCATCCCTGTCCCCTATTCCCATCCCTGTCCCCATCCCTGTCCCTGTCCCCATCCCTGTCCTTATCCCTGTCCCTGTCCTTGTCCCCATCTCCCATTCCCCTATTCCCATCCCTGTCCCCTATTCCCATCCCTGTCCCCTGTCCCCATCCCTGTCCCTGTCCCCATCCCTGTCTCCTTTCCCAGCTGCTGTTGGCTCCAGGTTCCCCTCGCTGCCCTCCCGACATTCACATCCAGCCGAGCCTGTGGCCACCAGGTTTTTATTGTCCCTGTCCCGGGCAGGGTGAGCGCGCTCCGGGGGCAGGGCCGGGGGGGCTCGCAGGGTTCCTGCTCCTTTCATCCCTCACCCTCCATCAATATTTATAGATGCAGCAGGGCCCTCGGCTCCCTCCACTAAGAAGAACATTCCCGAGCAGCGCTGGGGAGAAGTGCCGGAACCACCGTGGCTGTTTTTGGGGTGCTGATGGAGCCCAGCGCGGGCCGGGGGCAGCTGCCATCCCCTGCTCCCTTTTTTCCCTCATTTCCACCAAAACCGAGCCCAGCTCCTGCTGCTCCTCACCTGGCCGCGCTCCTCCCTCAATTCCTGCCTCGGGACCTCTCCAAGGGCAGGGCTGGGAGCTCCGGAGCCCCCCAGCATCACCCCCGGGAGGCCGGGACCTCGCAGCCGGCTCCGGGTGGGGTTCTGAGAGCGGAATCCCCCCGGGAGGGGCCGCAGCCCCTTTTTGTTCCATGCACAGAGGGACAGCGGTGGCAGTGAGCGGCACACAGAGCGGGGACAGCCACCGGCAGGCTCCTGCCAGCTTGGCATGTTTTCTTTTTGAAGCCTCCCGAGGCGGGCGGGACACGGGGGGTCCCGGCAGGAATCACACCGAGGGTGCATGCAATGGCCCGAGGGGCAGAGAGCGCTCGGTGCCGGCAGCAGGTGCTGGAGATCGGTCACAGTTCACGATGGTGATGGATGGGCTGGAACTGCCTCTTCCGAACGGGGGGAGACGTCCCTCGATCGCAACCTCCGAGCCTGCGGCACCAGGAACCCGGTCAGGACCCCCAGAGATCCCCCAGAGATCCCCCAGAGATCCCCCAGAGATCCCCCAGAGATCCCCCAGAGATCCCCAGAGATCCCCAGAGATCCCCCAGAGATCCCCCGGAGATCCCCAGAGATCCCCCAGAGATCCCCGGAGATCCCCCAGAGATCCCCAGAGATCCCCCGGAGATCCTGCCCGGCCCCACAGCCACCAGTGCTGGGAGCTGGGAAGGGGCTGGAGCGTGTCCAGGGCAGGGAACGGAGCTGGGAAGGGGCTGGAGCCCCAGGAGAGGCTGAGGGAGCTGG